CTCTGTTCGAACTCATTCAACTGTCTTTTTTCAAAAATTAGCACATTAGAACTAGATGTCATTTCTTTACAAATTGCCATTAAACAAGATTGTTGCGTTCCCAAGCAGTGATAAAGTCCAGAACTGTCGTCAGATAGGAAGTCGTCGCTACTATTCTTTTTTTCAGCTCATCGACAGAGATCGGCTTGTCACTCTGTATTCCTGCATGTAGAGTGCTGTCATCCGCGAAGCTGTGGATTGGGTTGATTGTGCAGGTAAGGAGGTCGGTGACATGTAAGAGGAACAGCGTAGGAGCCAAGACCGATCCCTGGGGATCACCCGCGTTGACGTTGATCTTGCGGCCAGAGATAAAGTCAGCCGCCCATCTGCAAAGCTTTTCTGGGAGGCCATAGCGTCACCAATAACACAAAGTGGCGTATCTCAGAAAATACGAAAATTGAGTTAAGTCGATTTTATTACTTAAAGAAGGTTGCTCTTCACGAAGTGGCATAAGTCATTTTCTAATACTCTCAGAGTTATAGCAAAATAATATTAGACTTATCTCATTTTAATAGAAAATTAAATTTCACGAGCGAGCTTAACTCTTAAGTTACGGCAATTTGTGAAGTTATAAAAGACTTGTAATGTCACGTATTCCTGTTAAGCGGTGATAGATTAGGTCAAAAGCAACCGATTTTGTCCTATAATGTCTTATCCAGAAGTTAACCGTTTTTGAGTTATTTGAATTTTATTTTTTTTATTTTATATTCCGATTTCAGACGGCAAAATTTGAAATACAAAAAAAACTACATGTTTGATTTTGAGTTTTTTGTTATCGTCGCATAGCGGACATTCCAATAGTTCATAATAAGTAATTAAATGTCGAAAACTTACGCTTTTGAAATGTATGGTTTTCTTATTTTTTTACTAATTTATTCGATAAAAAATGCAATTTTCTGTAAAAAATCTCCTGGTAATGAAATGTGCAAATTATGTAAATAATATCTCTATCTAACAAGCTTTCATTTGAGGTATAAAAGTTACAACTAACTCAAGTACAAAGACATAAAATTAAAAAAAGATGAGTAAAGTTGTACGAACGATTATTACGTAGGATAAATAAAAGGCTTTTATTTTAATTACAGTTTTCTTTAATTACATTTCCTTTAGTATTTTACAGATTCTGCTCAAATTGTAATCCCCTGTTACGAATACACGCCCGCATTCTCTTACGTAATTCACTTTTGGTAACTCTAGTTGTTAAGCGGCTTTTTATTTGGTCAGCTGCACTGATTATCCTTGTACTTAATTCATCGCGCGTTGGTATGGGCGAAACATCGTAACCAGGCTTTTCATATGTCCCCACACATAGTAATCCATCGGTGTGCGATCTGGGCTTCTTGCTGGCCAGGCAAAGGGCCCGCCTCTGCCAATCCATTGATTTGGAAATTTAGAGTCTAAATACGCTCGTACTAATCTACTGTGTGCGGGACAGCCGTCGTGCTGGAACCGCATATTTTGTCTCGTCGCCAATGGGACGTCTTCCATTAATGGAAACAAGTGATTTTTCAAGAACTCTTCATACACTTCTCCATTTAAATTGGCGGGCAGAAAATGAGGTCCAATTAAATATCCATCAATGATGCCCACACATTGACTGACAACCGGCTCTGAGACCCCGTCGGTCTTATTTTTCGGGGGTTTAAAGCTTCTTTATCAGCCCAGTATTGAGCATTATGGTAGTTAGTGATCCCGTCCTTATCAAACTTCGATTCATCGGTCCACAGAATTTTCTTAAAATAGTCTGGATCTTCTGTATCTGCATGTAACATGTACCTGCAGAAATCTAATCGTCTTGCAGGATCGCCCTCTTCAATCACATGCACAGGCGTGTAGTGATAAGGGTATAATCTTGCAGTATGCACCGTAAACCATACTTTGTATTGTGATATACCCAACTGAGCAGCCATAATGCGCGTAGACGTAGTAGGGTCTTCCTGAAACACACGAAGGATTTCCTCTTCATCTTCAGGAGGATCGATTCGGGGTCGACCAGCATCACTATGTTGCCTTTGAACACGTCCGGTTTGGGGGATGCGCCGATACACAGAGTCAAACACAGTAACATGAGGTGTTTGGCGATTCGGGAAACGTTGCCGATATTCACGGCGGGCAGCTGCAGAATCGCCGTTACAAAGTCCATAACAGAACATGTTTGCGTATTCTTCATTTGTAAAAGTTTGCCCGTGCTCGCTATGGCGAGGTCCTGGCGGTTCTTCTGCGTCTGCCATGATGATAAAGAAACCACTCGAAATGAACTGGGAAACTCGAAAATAATAATCGGGCGTAAAACGTGTGCGCGTACGCAGTAGTTGATACCAACTAAACCTAAATCTCACTCGGCGTGCGGTGATGGCGTAACTACAATGATGAATACTAACAGCTCTCTCTCTCTCTCTCCTCCACTAAGTCAGCTCTTCTCGCTCGCTTCCTCGTCGAGCCGATGCCATAAAACAATCATATCATGCGAGTCCTTTGAGGACTTGTTCAAACAGGTAATACAAATTCCTTAAAAATCCAGCCTCTGTGGGTGTCGTTGTTGTTTCTCTGCATGTACTAGATAATTGAACGCTTAATACCTCAAATGAAAGCTTATTAGGTAGATATATTATTTACATAATTTGCACATTTTATTACTAGGAGGTTTTTTACAGAAAATTGCATTTTTTATCGAATAAATTAGTACAAAAAATAAAATGATACATTTAAAAAGCGTAATTTTAAAACGTTTGTAGCTTTTCAACATTTTATTACTTATTATGAACTATTGGAATGTCTGCTATGCGACGATAACAAAAACCTCAAAATCGAGCATGCAGTTTTTTTGTATTTCAATTTTAACCGTCTGAAATCGGAATAAAAAATAAAAAACTTAAAATTTAAATAACTCAAAAATGGTTAACTTTTGGATAAGACATGATAGGACAAAATCAGTTGCTTTTGACCTAATCTATCACCCCTTAACAGGAATACGTGACATTACAAGTCACCCTGTATACATCGTATGACTTATCCGAGTTACGCCAAAATTAGAGTTTTTATTTTATCACTATACGCACTGTGTCTTATCTATCTTTTTAGCTTCACCTTCAGCACGAATACAGCTTTTTCAGACTAAAAAGGCAAAAGCTGAAGTTGAAAGATATTCCCTTCAAAGTTCTGAGTGTAGAGCCAAGAAAACATACTACGATAAAATATATGGATTTGAACTCACTGTGATTTAAATCTTCCTCATGAGTAAATGAAATACTAACTATTATTTTGTGCATCTCTAACAGATATATCATTATTATTTTAGTGAGTCTTTTGCTTGTGCTGTCATATTTAACTTGGGGCGTTACATAGTTTTAGATACTGCGGATACTTATTTCCCGGTTCCCCATTTTGTAACCATTTTGTCTTGTGTTAAAACATTTTTTTTTTAAATTTCATGCGTTTTGATTTCTCCTGACTTAAGTATAACTCGGACGTAACCATGTCTTTATTCTATGAATTACGGCACTCCAATTTCACAAAATGACGTATCTACTTTTTGGAAGCTTTGGACACATAAAATGAAAAATAGGTTAACCGTTGCTCATTCTTGAAAAGCTTGTAATCATGAGCAGATATACCCCCACAAATTCAATTATGTAGCAATAATACCTTTTTGTCAGCAACAACTCTAATCTTGTGAAAATATTTAAAACGCTCTCCTGAAAAATTAGAAAAAATGAGATACGTTTTTTAATTATGTACGAGCCTTCCCACTTCAGTTGGCCCAACTATTGAAATCTTAGTGTTTTTCTTATCAAACACAAATAATAAAAATGTAGCAAGGTGTTATAGGTTTAAAATATTAACAATGAATAATTTGATAATATATAGTAGAAAACACCAACTTTATCACTCCGTAATCAAATTTGCAGCATAAAAATAACACATGTTGCAATTACAGCATATAGTCCGTACCATGAATGTTGGCATACACGTCATCACTTGATGCATTTATCCACGACTGGCAGATTTTCTGCCATCTCCTTTTAACGAGTGAGCACGACCGTACTGGATAACAATAACATATGTTTTCTGGTGCTACGACAGAAGTTGGGAGCGTTGCCGCTTACGCAGCAATGTGTTAGACAAAGACGGTATTATTAGGTAGGTCGCACTATATCGTAAGTCACGGTGACAGCGACGATCATGAGCGTACGGTTTGTATAGCAAAGGTTCAGACCTGCGCGGTTGATTTTTGCACCGTTTTCCGGTTTGTTGTTCTTTACAATTAGTGTAAATAAAGTGAATAAAAAATGCCCGGCAAAAGACTTGATGGAGTAGCCAGGGACATGGTGGTGAAGCTACTAAAGTATTTTGATCGCGAAAAACGTAATAATGGGCCTTTATTACCTGTGGACGCAATTCAGGAGGTAATATTTATATGTATGGTTATATGTATTATTGAAAAAAGTTTCACGTTGTTTTTTCTCCTTGCGTCATGTTTTTCTTGTTATGTTACACATGTATTAAAAAATTATATTATACTTTAATTTTTATATCTTATATTACATTTTCAAATGGAGAGAAAACTATCAAGACAGACAATGAATAACTCTGGTTTCTCGAAGCTTAACTCTCGAACGTCTCGAACTCTCGAACGTTGAAAAAAAAGTTGTAGGGTTTTTTCAACATCGACAGAACCTAAAAGTTTATTCACATACCTATCACTAATACATGTGACATTATACGAAGTCTAATAAATCATAAAATAAATAAATTAAATTTTCAGCGTGTTTCCCACGCAATGGGCATTAGTATGCGGGCGGTGTCACGTATTTTCAGAGAATCAAAAGAAAACCGAAAGCCCGTAGACCAGGAAGATCAAGCTGCCTCCAAAACAAAAAAAATATAAGCCCCGGGAAAAAACAAAAACAGCAGACTTACCAGACGCTGTGAAGATGAAAGTGAAAAATGCAATTTACAACATGTACTCAGAAAGTACGTATTTTTGTCTCCATTAATACGATTTATTTATGTATTAATACTTACAGAGAGGCATGTTACTATCAAAACATTAAAGGAAGAATTGGACGTCAAACAAATAGTGGACATAAGCAAGATGTCATTGTGCCGCTTATTGCCGCTTATTGGCTTCCAATATAAACAGGAAGACAACCGGAAGGCGCTTATGGAGAAAAGCAGTGTCGTTGCTTTGAGAGCAGAATTTCTGCGCAAATATAATGAAAATGGAAACTCCCCCTTTAAACGCACAGTTGTTTTCTTAGATGAGACATGGATTTTTGCAAAAGGGAACAGGAAGAGATCCTGGCAGGACGGATCCGTAAAAGGGACCCGAAAACCTGGGGGATTTGAAGGCAAACGCTATATTGTATTACATGCTGGTCACAGTGGGGGGTTCGTGGAGAATGCTTCACTCATCTATGGCACTGCCTCAAAACTGGGAGATTATCATGGAGACATGAATGGCGATACATTTTTGAAGTGGGTCAAAGAGAAACTAGTTCCAAATTTGGAGGAGCCATGCCTCATTGTTATGGATAATGCTTCCTACCACAGTGTATTAGTGGAGAAGCAGCCAATATCATCTTGGACAAAAGCCCAGGTCATACAGTGGTTGGAGGGAAACAACATTAATTTTGAGAGGAACCAATTTAAAAGTGAACTCTTAAAATTGGCCAAGCAACATGCTCGGCCTGCAAGATTTGTTGTTGATGAATACCTACGAGAACATGGGCATGAGGTACTGCGACTACCGCCATACCACTGCCAGTTCAATGCCATCGAACTGATATGGGCACAGGCAAAACAATATTATGATACCCATATAGGCGAGGAAGGTTATGGCGCTGACAAAGTGCTAGGCATGTGGCAGAAGGCATTGGAAAACTGTACTCCTGACAGATGGGCCTCTGTTGTCACACACACGGAGGGAGTTATAGATGCATGGTATAACAGACAACGAATCCTGGATAATGTGCCAGAAGTGATTATTACAATCAATGGAGACGACAGCAGTTCAGATGAAGATTTTTAAGACAGCGATATTTATTTCGGTCAAATCTACCCATGAAAGCTTGAAGGAATTATTGTGTGATAGAGCCTGGTAATTCATCGTAACTTTGTGTTCATATACGCTATCTACCAGTAAAAATAAAAAAATCTATTAATTACCTTATATGTTCGAGTATGTTTAATTTTAGAACTTAAAACTGAAATTTCAATATTTTTCTCAATGTTATGCTTTTTCAGAAAATATTCTGTTTTTCTTCATTTCCTGCAAAATTGAAATATGTTCCTTAAATCGCGCATTCAAATAACAATAAATCAAGACTTGCCGTTTTGTGCAGCAAATATTTTCGAAATATAATACAGAAAATACTTTTTGCCGCCTGACACAGAACATTTTAACTACTAAAAATCTCTTCCCGGGGGCACGCCTATGGATATTCGCCTATGGTAGAAAGTGCCTACTTCAAAACTATTTGCTCGGAAATGTACAAATGATGACGTGTACGCCAACATTCATGGTACGGACTATATCAACCTATTTTCATTTTAATGCAAAATAAGTCGATCACGCATAGGCGGCTGTGAAAAATAAAAGCCATGACAATTGTTTTTATTACTCACAGCTATCAGAATACGTTTAAAATAGTTTTGGGTAGTTAAGGTTTTCAAAATGGGTAGAGGAAATATTATTAGTGAGAAAATTCGGTTACTGATAATTAAATATTTTAATTCCGGGAAATCAAACTCAGAAATTGCAACTTTGTTAGGCTTATCGCGGTACAGTGTGAGAAATATTGAGAGAAGATATAACGTAACTGGTTCAGTTAATATTAAGCCACGATATGTGAAAAAAAGTAATATCACAAAAGCCGACCGAAGAGCATTAAGAATAATCGTGAAAAACAGGCGTGCCAATTATTTACAATTAAGTGCTCTGTGGAGTGACGCTGTTGGAAGGAGAATTTAGAGGTCCACAACTCATAGAGAGGCCCACAAACTGGGATTTAGCACTTGCAAGGTAAGTTTTCTTATAAAAAAAAGTGAAGTAAAAACCCTAAAGTTGCACAACTTATTTATATGCCAAAGAAAAGCCTCTATTAACTCCACTGCAAAAGAAAAATCGGCTTGTATGGGCTAAAGAACATAGACAATGGACACCTCAACAATGGTGTGCAATACAATGGAGTGATGAAGCCCGATTCGAAGTTTGTGTTGGTGACAGACGCAGTAGAGTTATTCGCAAAAAATGAAGCATTCCATGTTGACTGTCTGAAGAGAAAAGTGAAATTTTCAGCATCCATTATGGTCTGGGGCAGTATGTCACCAAAAGGAATAAGAAAACTTCATTTTATTGATGGAAATGTGGATACAAACAAATATTTGGCAATTTTAGAAGAATCGCTTTTACCAGTGATGGAAGAATGTTTGACATCCGGCCAAGATTTTGTGTTTCAGCAAGATGGTGCAGCATTCCATACCTAAAAAGAGGCTATTAAATGGATGGAAGAAAATAATGTACCACTTTTGAAATGGGTTTCTAGGAGTCCAGATCTGTCACCTGTTGAAACTTTGTGGCACGAGATGAAAAAGGTTCTAGGACAACATCCTGCTCGTACAGTCACCGAACTGAGACAAAAGCTTCAAGAAATATGGGATTGTTTTACACCAAAGTTTTGCCAAAACTTGGTTAACACTATGCCCCAAAGAATTTCAGCCGTAATCAAAATAAAGGTGATGTTACCCAATGGTAATCTTTCAATTGTTGCTTTGTTAACTTCGCGCATTTATTCGCACATTGTTTATTTGTTCAGATGTTCTATTAGTTATAGGTCTAAGTGATTTCAAATATGTATTTTTTATGACTAGAGTCTATCTAAAATGTTTTTGAGAAAATAAATTGTTTTACAAGTAAATAGTTTCGTCATGTTTAGTTTATAAAGGCATATTTTGGTACAAATCTTGAAGTGGGAAGGGGCTCGTATATTGTTTACTGTCCGTTTATTGTTTACATTGTTTGGTCATATCGACCTGCCATATACTCGTACATGTAACACGTCTCTGTGAATGAGCCCAAATAAATAAATTAGCGATGATCTCCATCTGGAAGTATAACTTGGATTTCTCTGGTCGTCACGCGAAGTGGCCAGGGGTCACGAGAGCCCCGTGAGGGACAAGAGCGGTCTCTCAGTGGCACCGCTCCGCTATGGGGCGGTGAGGGGGCGTCGATCGTGTCCTGGTACGGGATGGCCAAAGGCCGCGGCCAGAGTCCGACCGAAATATCGACCAAACTATGACGGCCCAGCTAGCACGCTAACCATACATTTAAATCGGGGAAAAAACCGCCCGTGTCAGCCTATAAAAGTCTGATTTGTATCGGCTATAAAAAATATACGGCGTTTTGTTGGAGTTAAAATGTATTGCGTGCCAAGCTTCTGGTCCCACGAATGTTTCTTTGAGTCTTCACGAAGAAATGCAGTTCCTTAATCGGGAAACTTTGTTGAGAGTTGTGAAGATTTCCGAAAGCGTTCTAAAAAAATTGCGTCAAGCAGGTTGACTCTGCACTTCCCACGAAACGCTGTCATAAGCTCTACATTATTATTATTATTTTATATTAGCCATTTTTTCCTCAGTTGGCTGACAGCGTTCATGCAAGATGTCTCGAAAGTGTGTAAACAATCCAGATCAGTTTTGTTACGTGTGTGGTGATGTGACTTTTGCGTCTCAGAGACGGTCTATTGCTCCACTAATAACAAAGGCATGTCAGCTTTATTTCGATTGTAAACTAGGTGATCAAGACAAACAGTGGGCACCCCACATCTGCTGTAATACATGTGCTTCAAGTCTGAGGAGCTGGTTAAATGGCAAAAAACGGTCTATGCGCTTTGCCCAATGGTTTGGAGAGAGCCTACAAATCATATTAATGATTGTTACTTTTGCATGGTACCTTGTGTTGGACAAGCCACAGGTATGTCCAAGAAAAAAAAATCGGTTATTAACTACCCAAACATACCATCTGCGATGAGACCTGTGCCTCACAGTGACGAAAATCCTATTCCAAAACCCCCAGAATCCTACACTTGCGAATCAGAAAACGAATCAGATCATGGCGATCGAATGATTCGTCAGGAAGAAGATATGCCATCAACGTCAAGAGATCCTGATTTTATACCGAGCACGTCATGCCACCAACCGCACAAAATAACACAGTCAGAATTAAATGATCTTGTAAGAGATTTAGAACTTCCAAAATGTAAGGCAGAGTTACTTGGATCAAGACTGCAGCAGTGGAACTTGTTAGAAGACGATGTTTCGGTATGTGTTTTTCGTAAACGCCACAAAGACTTAGAACCATTTTTCAATATGGAGCATAACTTGGTTTTCTGTAGTAACATTAACGGCTTACTGGCGGCTTTAAATATAAACTATAACCCAGAAGAATGGAAATTGTTTATAGACAGTTCAACATTGAGTTTAAAGGCAGTGTTATTGCATATTAGAAATATTTTACCATCTCTTCCTGCAGGGTATGCAGTTCACATGAAAGAATCATATGACAATATGAAGTACCTATTGACATGCATAAAATACGATGAGCACCAATGGCATATTTGTGGCGATTTGAAAGCTGTTGCACTTTTACTTGGGCTGCAGCTAGGCTACACAAAGTTTTGCTGTTTTTTGTGTGAATGGGACAGTCGGGCAAAGGCACTTCATTACACCAGACAAAACTGGCCTGTTCGTCAATTCCTAGAGCCAGGTCAAAAAAATGTACAGCATATGCCATTAGTAGATTCGAAAAAAAATTTATTACCACCACTGCATATCAAGTTCTGCCTAATGAAAAACTTTGTCAAGGCATTAGATAGAGATGGGTCAGCTTTTCAATACCTGCGTCAGAAATTTCCAAGACTAAGTGAGGCAAAGGTTAAAGAAGGTATTTTTGTTGGGCCACAGATTCGAAATATTTTGAAAGATACACAGTTTGAAAACACTTTAACAGGTATTGAAAAAACTGCTTGGAATGATTTCCGTCGGGTGGTCACTAATTTCTTGGGAAATAGAAAAGCTGACAACTATAAAACCCTTGTCAAAAATATGCTGTCATTGTATCAATAGATGGGCTGTAATATGTCTCTTAAGATACATTTCCTACACTCACAACTGGACTTTTTTCCTGACAATTGCGGAGCCGTAAGTGATGAGCACGGCGAACGTTTTCATCAGGATATTTCAACAATGGAAAAAAGGTACCAGGGAAAGTGGAATCCTTCCATGCTTGCAGACTGCTGTTGGACTCTTGGTAGAGTTAGAAGTTTTTTTCTAAACCGCAACTAATTTTTTTAGTTCATTGTCATTTTTGGATTCAGCGCCCCAAAATTAACAAAGAAGTGCACTTTTCCCACAAGATACAATTAAAAAACTAAAATTTGTTGTCCAGTGAATAGGTCGATTTTCTAGCTATTATATTTAGTAGGATGTTTTCGCTGTTTTTGACGACTGTTCATGCATGGCGATCTAATTTTGTCTGTATATCACGTACAGGGTGTTGTACATAACACGTACCTGTAGAAATGTACCGATTTTTGTTATTTTGCAAAAAAAGGATATAAAACGTATTCCAACTGGTTCTTCATCTTTTGTTACATCAAAAACAATTTTTGCCAATTTATGATCTAGAAATACACACCAGATGTAAACAAGCAGCACATTCTGCATTTCTGGGTCCTAAAACATCGATTTTTGTAAAAGTATCAGCACCCACCTATTATTCATCGTCTAGATATTATAAGTCAGAATCAAAAATACCTACTTGTGGAAATATATCTCCAAACATTATTATATTTTTTTATCATTTCTATTATTATAACACGTCTGGGATATCAATTGCTTTTAAAGTGATCTGCACATCTGCAGTGTTGCCGAACCGGCAAAAAAACGGAATCGGTATAAGATGCCGTCCCAATATCAGTGGTAGATCAAGGACCTTTGAGTCATAAAAAGCGTCTGTTATTGTATTAGGCGCGC